CTTGTCATGACAGAAAGACCATTTGAGGTATCATTAGAGAAACTGACTTCTAAACGCGCTTAATAAATATAATATCAAACCACATAAAATGATCAAAATGACAATGGCTAATTCAAGACTGCACAAGAAAACCGAAAACAACGTTTGCATCGAAAATCACTAGAGAGGCGAAACCAAATAGCCAATCACGGCGCCAATACTCCTTTTAGGTCATTCTCGATCCACCAAAGTGCTCATTCCCCGACAACGTTTTCAAATGCTACATATCAAAACTTTGCATCAAATAAACCTTTCATACAGAAAGACATTGAGCAATATCACTAGAAAAACCTTCAAAATGACTTCTAGCTTTTTATTGAATTAACCGAATTTTGACCGCGAAAGCTTTTATAAGGTTTGCGAACTTAGTTTTGCTTAAGACACAAACAAGCAAGCAGTCCTCTGCAAGCTCCGCGTTTAAAACAAACCATTGGTCTTCATAACAATCAAATTCGAAAAAAAACTGCTTGAAATTTGTTCAAAAAGCTCTTGGAATATTCATATTGGAAGAAGTATGTGGCTTGAAGGGGCGTTCTTTGAAGGGACTCAGCCGCCTTGAACTAGGTCGTAAGAGGACTTTCCTTCTTTTGAAGCAATGGAATGCTGTAAGGGGCAAGCACCTCAAAAGAAACCAACCAACACAGTCCCCTTTAGAAGCATGGTACGACGCACCTCTCTGTGTAGCTTTTAATTTTAATGGGATAACTTTCTAGCTAAAGTACATTCATTAAATTTCTAGGAGAAATGTTCGCTGTCGCAGACCTCTGGACACCGCTAATAAAAGATGATGTCGAATGCATCAGTAGCAAAGAGGCAAACGCAACAGTGAAGGAAATGGTTTACCACATGAACCAAGTCTCTATACAGAAATCCAATACAGACCACTTGCCTTGTTTGTAATCGTTTAAAAGATTTTGCAGCCACAAAGAAGTTGCAGAAAAATTCCATTCCGTATGCATGTAAACTTGATTCTCACGCTCGGCCTTGTACATCTCTTTGTAACTTGTCCCAGGTCGCCTTTTGCTCCCGAATGGAAATGCCCCCTCGCCCTTAATGTGCCGCTTTATGTACCTGCCTAACTACCGAAATTGTTCGCTAACGCCAAAATTACAGTAGGTAAACTCTGAACGGAAAGTCTGCAATTTGGAGCCATATATTGTCGGGAAATGTACAAGAAGTCTCTAAGTTAACCATAAACACACCTCTTTCGATCGCGTGGAACATAGGTCGATGCAATATCCAGGCAATCGCGAGCAAAGCCTTGCTGGGGGGGGGGTGTGGACAAACAAATTTACCTGATATCTAACAATTAACCTGAAATTCTTACATGCTGAAGCAAACCTCTGCAATACTTTTGGTCAATCTAACGTGCTGGCATATGAATTGCGCAAATTTTCATTTTAAGTGATTATAACAGACTTTATAATAGTTTTGTCAAAGTCTGTATATCCGGGACGTGGCAGGATATAACCAGCAATAAAATTTGAAAGGCAACAAAAAAAAAACAGCCATGGATTTTAGAGAAACTCTAAAACAAAGTTCCCTACAGCAACGTAGCAATAAAATTTGAAAGGCAACAAATAAAAACAGCAATGGATTTTAGAGAAACTCTAAAGCAAAGCTCCTTACAGCAACGTAGCCATAAAAATTGAAAGTCAAGAAAAAAACAACCATTGATTTTAGAGAATCTCTAAAGCAAAGCTCCCTACAGCAACGGAGCAAAAAAATTTGAAAGGCAACAAAAAAAAAACAGCCATGGATTTTAGAGAAACTCTAAAGCAAAGCTCCTTACAGCAATAAAACCATCAAAATTGAAAGTCAAGAAGAAAAAAAACCATCGATTTTAGAGAAACTCTAAAGCAAAGTTCCCTACAGCAACGTAGCAATAAAATTTGAAAGGCAACAAATAAAAACAGCCATGGATTTTAGAGAAACTCCAGAGCAAAGTTCCCTACAGCAACGTAGAAATAAAATTTGAAAGGCAACAAATAAAAACAGCCATGGATTTTAGAGAAACTCTAAAGCAAAGCTCCCTACAGCAACGTAGCAATAAAAATTGAAAGCCAACAAAAAAAAACAGCAATGGATTTTAGAGAAACTCTAAAGCAAAGCTCCCTACAGCAACGTAGCAATAAAAATTGAAAGGCAACAAATAAAAACAGCCATGGATTTTAGAGAAACTAAAGCAAAGCTCCCTACAGCAACGGAGCAATAAAATTTGAAAGGCAAGAAAATAAAAACAGCCATGGATTTTAGAGAAACTCTAAAGCAAAGCTCCCTACAGCAACGGAGCAATAAAATTTGAAAGGCAACAGATAAAAACAGCAATGGATTTTAGAGAAACTCTAAAGCAAAGCTCCCTACAGCAACGTAGCAATAAAATTGAAAGGCAACAAAATAAAAACAGCCATGGATTTTAGAGAAACTCTAAAGCAAAGCTCCCTACAGCAACGGAGCAATAAAATTTGAAAGGCAACAGATAAAAACAACCATGGATTTTAGAGAAACTCTAAAGCAAAGCTCCCTACAGCAACGTAGCAATAAAATTGAAAGGCAACAAAATAAAAACAGCCATGGATTTTAGAGAAACTCTAAAGCAAAGCTCCTTACAGCAATAAAACCATCAAAATTGAAAGTCAAGAAAAAAAAAACCATCGATTTTAGAGAAACTTTAAAGCAAAGCTCCCTACAGCAACGGAGCAAAAAAATTTGAAAGGCAACAAAATAAAAACAGCCATGGATTTTAGAGAAACTCTAAAGCAAAGCTCCTTACAGCAATAAAACCATCAAAATTGAAAGTCAAGAAAAAAAAACCATCGATTTTAGAGAAACTCTAAAGCAAAGTTCCCTACAGCAACGGAGCAAAAAAATTTGAAAGGCAACAAAATAAAAACAGCCATGGATTTTAGAGAAACTCTAAAGCAAAGTTCCCTACAGCAACGTAGCAATAAAATTTGAAAGGCAACAAATAAAAACAGCCATGGATTTTAGAGAAACTCTAAAGCAAAGTTCCCTACAGCAACGTAGCAATAAAAATTGAAAGGCAACAAATAAAAACAGCCATGGATTTTAGAGAAACTCTAAAGCAAAGCTCCCTAAAGGAACGTAGCAATAAGAATCGACAGGCAGTAAAATAAAGAGAACGAAGGATTTAAGAGAAAATCTAAAGCAAAGCTTCCTACAGCAACGTAACAAAAAAAAATGACAGGCAGTAAAATAAAGAGAAAAAAGGATTTTAGAGAAACTCTAAAGCAAAGCTCCCTACAGCAACGTAGCATGAAAAATTGGCAGGCAGTAAAATAAAGAGAACGAAGGATTTTAGAGAAATTCTAAAGCAAAGCTCCCTACAGCAACGTAGCAATAAAAATTGACAGACAGTTAAAAAAAGAAAACGAAAGATTTTAGAGAAACTCTAAAGGAAAGCTCCTTATAGGAACATAGCAATAAAAATTAACAGGCAGTAAAATAAAGAGAAAGAAGTAATTTTAGAGAAACTCATAAGCAAAGCTCCCCACAGGAACGTAACAATAAAAATTGACAGGCAATGAAATAAAGAGAACGAAGGATTTTAGAGAAATTTCAATGCAAAACTCCTTATAGGAACATAGCAATAAAAATTGACAGGCAGTAAAATAACGAGAAAGAAGGATTTTAGAGAAACTCTAAAGCAAAGCTCCCTACAGGAACGTAGCAATAAAATTGACAGGCAATAAAAGAACAACGAAGGACTTTAGAGAACCTCTAAAAGAAAGTTTCCTACAGCAACGTAGCAATAATAATTTACAGGCTTAAAATAAAAACAACGAAGGATCTTAGGGAGACTTTAAAGCAAAGCTCTCTACAGGAACATAGCAATAAAAATTGACATACAGTCAAAAAAGAGAACAAAGGATTTTAGAGAAACTCTAAAGCAAAGCTCCCTACAGCAACGTAACAAAAAAATTGACAGGCAGTAAAATAAAGAGAACGAAGGATTTTAGAGAAACTCTAAAGCAAAGCTCCCTACAGGAACGTAGCAATAAGAATTGACAGGCAGTAAAATGAAGAGAAAGAGGGATTTTAGAGAAACTCTAAAGCAAAGCTCCCTACAGGAACGTAGCAATAAGAATGAACAGGCAGTAAAATAAAGAGAATGAAGGATCTTAGGGAAACTTTAAAGCAAAGCTCCCTACAGGAACATAGCAATAAAAATTGACATACAGTCAAAAAAGAGAACGAAGGATTTTAGAGAAACTCTAAAGCAAAGCTCCCTACAGCAACGTAGCATGAAAAATTGGCAGGCAGTAAAATTAAAGAGAACGAAGGATTTTAGAGAAATATCAAAGCAAAGCTCCCTACACCAACATTGCAGTAAAAATTGGCAAGGAAGAAAATAATAAGAACGAAAGATTTTAGAGAAACTTTAAAGGGAAGCTCCCTACAGCAACGTAGCAATAAAATTGACAGGCAATAAAATAAAAACAACAAAGGCTTTTAGGGAAACACTAACGCAAAGCTCTCCACAGGAACTTGGCAATAAAAATTGACATGTTGGCTTTTTGAGAAACTCAAAAACAGAGTAAGTTATAGTAAGTGATAAACGAAAGTTAATACGCAAGGAAATAAAAATAAAAGTGGTTTTTAGAGAAGCTTTTCAAAAGAGCTACCAGCAGTAAGTTAGAAAGAGAAATTCATGCGAAAGGAAATAAAAATAAAAGTGGTTTTTAGAGAATTGTTTTTACAAAGCTAACAACAGAAAGAAACTTTTTATCAAAAGTAACGTATAGTAAGTCATGAATAGAATTTAATTCTCAAGGAAAAAATATATTTTGAAATATAATGGTAATTTGAAAAAAATATTCCTAAGAAATTAGAAGGTTTGCACTTCAGAATTGAAGGTCTGCACTTCAGAATAAAAGCACAAGGATCCATGCTATTTGAGTTTGTAAGTTTGGAATTTGAAGGAAAGGGAACCGACATACCTGCAAAAGTCATACAAGTTCTTATGAAGGTTTTAGTCCAGATCCCATTCATATCCAATTTCTAGGTGTTCAAAGCATCAACTGGCTATATTGATGGAGCTTTGAAGAGGAATTTTGTCAGCCCTAGGATTTGAACAAAAAATAACATTGGAAGTATTTGAAAAATATTTCAATAATGTTTAAGAAAATGAAAGTTTCTGGAATTTTGTCCAAAAGAACAGAGTCCAGAGCTAAAAGCAAGACCTAAAGGACTGAAGAAAACCAAACAAACTGTTTATCATTAAAAGAGATCTGGAGAACGTTATCGAGAAAGACTGAAATTAAAAAGTCGTTTCAATCAAAGTATCGACATCCTAGATGTCTGTTTCATTGTTAACATTTTTTCAACGTTCTAAAAAGCAAAACAATTTTGTTTTCAAAACTGAATTGCCAAAAAATTAACATTGGTTTTCCTAATGAAGGGTAGTATCGTTGCTAAGAGGATATCTTCAAAAGTAGCATCAGTGAAGGTAATGTCACAGTAGTTAAAAGTAATATATAATGATTTACATTGGACTTTGATTGGCATCACATTGCAGGCTTAGTTTGCAAGAATTTGGATAAATTAAACAAGTGAGGATATTGCCTAAATTTTTCCTAAACTTTCAATATTTTAGTCATAGCTTTAAAATCCACAAAACAATATTCAGATGTGTCCTACATCAAGCTACTTATGAAACAGATCAGAAGTGAGGGAGCCGAAATAAGAAATCCACACAGACACGCCCTTTATCAAAGGCTATATAAATGAAGTAAAGAATTAGTTGACAAATTATCTGCAGACGGAAGAAAAGTTTTATAATATATTCATTTTGTGGGCTAATCTCTATCAGTATCTGATGGAAAAAGAAATTTTATTATTGAAATTTTATTAATGGCAATCTCGGCCTAAATATCTATAAAAAGGACATTTTTGTGAGGAATTCAAGACTGTCTACTCTTGATTTGAAATTATATAACAGTAGAAGAAAGTGGGTAACTTTGTGGTTTCGTTTGGGGATGTCAGGGACTTTTATCCTGCCAAAAATTATAACTATTCAATGAAAATTGATTCAAACAATATAGAAAGATATATAAGAGAAAATGAGGTTTAAAACAATATAGAAAATTAAAAATGATATTGATGTCCTTAGATTGCAAAATCTTTTTGAGGACAGCAAGGAATGGTAAGTGTGAATTGCAAAGCATCTGATTGCTTGCAGGAGTGCAAGGAGGGCTGTTTCTATCATCAAGACAGCATTTATTTAAAGAAAATTATATTCAACTTTGGTGGAAACAACATATGATACACTGGAAAAAGTCTTATTTGTTGATAGCTCTTTTAGTTTGCTTCACATTTTAAAATTTTTTTTAAAATACTTGATTCGAAAGGTAGATTACATTAAATGAAAGATACAACAGATTTGAAAGATACATTAAATTATATTTCTTGGCAAATGCTATATCATAATTAACTACCTGGCTTTTGGTTCCAAAGTTTTCCCATCAAGACAAAATACCACAGAAATCAAAGCAGGATGCAAATATCCATGACTCTACATAAAACAAATTTAGACATGAATTTATATATCATGTAGATCATCAAAATTTTAGTATATAATATTTCACAAACTGGCATTGATTTTTATTAGTTTCAATGCTGTTTTTAAAAATCTTATATCAAAACTTTTAACCATTCTGTTGGGGTCTTGGAGTATTTGCTCAATAATTTCTTGTAATGGTTATCGACCTTTACATTTAAAGGCTGATTCACTTTTACATTCATATTCAAATAAAATTTTCATCCACTTGATGAGAGATGTTATAGAATTTGAAATCATTAAGGGTTCTTATTTTCTTTCAATTTTATTAATCAAATTTAGGTGTAAAGTTATGCTATTAAGCCTCAATTTGCTGTTTTGATGCCTTTGGGAATAATGGTGAAGTTGTAGTTGGGATTTCTTGGGTGAAAGTTGTTACAGAGAGTGTAAGCAAGTGTTTTGGATAGGGCTTCTTGTTTTTTATGTATGCTCTTGCCAGGCTGTTCTCTTCTCCTGTCCCTCTCTCCCCTTCTGGTTTAAAGTAAAGTGTGTTTCTTCAAATCCTCTTTAATTTTACCTCATAGGGGTTTGGGCTTATTCACATAACAGGATTCAATTAACAGATTATTATGATTTCATTAAGGGTAGACTTGGCTCTTTAAGTTTTGTTTCTGTTCCCCTCTCATACTTTATGCAACTAAGGTAGGATGGTGCATCAGCTCCCTGGTGGGGATAAGCTGCCTTGTTACTTGAATCAATCAAGTTATATCTTTAACTGCGGATCATCTCTGGCCCACAGCAAAATGTCATCCTGCCTGCCGAAAACATTTTACCTCAAAAATATTTTTTGCCAACATTTTCAAAATTTGGAATTCAATTTATCTTTGGTTTTCCTTTGTCCCCTCTGATATATTTTTTTTCTCTGTAATAAATTTTAAATGCGTTCCATGGACAGTTATTAGTCCAAAAGGGAATAACAAAATAGGAAATGCCTTGTTTCCTTTTTCATATCTACAGATGAAACTATTGGACCTAGTCAAGAATATGCCTTGAATTTTCTCTCGTTAAAATCTAACTGAGGTGTTGTTTCTGGCCATTCCTAGATTAATATAGCCTAAAATTTTTCTTGCCGCCAACCATGGTGGTGGCCTTGACTAAATACATCCACAAACATAAGATTTTGGCCTTTCTTTAAAATACGCTGTGCAGTCCCTTGACCTGACTTCAGGCACTTCAAATCGACCCAACAAGAGACTAACGACGATGAACGTTCTAGCCTAAAAATAGAATAGAACGATTTCCTGACTCAGCCTGGTACAAGAAACATAAAGTTACAGACCTTTGTGAAAATTATTTTTTGGGCTTATCTTAACACTAATTTTTTGGGTCTATTTTAACACTAACTTAGCCTGGTAAAAATAAGATCTGAGTTTCATTTTGAGCAGCCTACACAAGGTATGTAAAAGTTGAAAACCAACTGGCCCCCGAAGAAATTCTATATGTTTTTCTGGCCCGGCATTTAAAATAATTAAGAATCTCTGGTCTAGGGCTTTATATGTGATTATTGATCGATTTTTATCAAGGCACCAACAGCCAAATGCGGAAGTGAAGGCTCAACACCTGATTTGAAGAATGGTAAAAATCGATTAAGAACCTAAGATAACAAAGTGATAGATAAGAATTCCTAAACTTCCACTAGAAAATAGCCCTTCTTGTTGCTTAAAGTCTATTCAACACTCTATAACACGCAAAACAAAATGATTCTAAACGCCACAAACAACAGACAAGAACAAACACAAAACATCACTGAACATAAAAGTGTGACATGCCAATGGAAGTGTCTTCTGAAGTAAATAATATTTTTAAATTTAAAGAATTCCTTTTTTATTGTTTTCAACCTGAGAAATTAATCTCTTTACGAGTTTTTTACTCGAAAGAGTTTTAATAATTTTGAAAAACAAATCTGAGAGATTGCAATCAAGAGCCCTATATGACACATCGATCAATATTTGCCACTCTCTAGAGAGTGGCAACTTGGGTTGGTGACTTCATGGCATAGCACCCACGAACAACATCCTATGAAATAATCCCAATTCTCTTTTTCTCTAGTTATTGCATGCAATGTAATTTTAGAACATAACTTACAGAAAAGACGGCGCTAAAAACACCACAGGGCTTGATCAGAAGCTGGCCTAACATCATATGGCGTTTATAAAATAACAGTAGCAACAAAGACATACCTTCGGCCTTTAACTGTTCAACATTACAATATATTTATCTAACATCTTGTCGCATAGTAAATATAAATTTTCTTGGAATAACTATAACACGTGAGCCGCTTATGACGAAAACAACTTTCTTCGAAGCCATGTTTTTAATCACACGAAAGGCGAATAGCATTCTGGGTAGTAAAGCTCCTTCGTCGATACGTGTTGACGAAAGAAGATATCTTTACTGTTTTCAAACAACTGGCCCATATGGAAAATCAGAGAATAAATTTGATGTAGCTGTAACTATCTAGAATTTGTTAGAAAATACCAGTGAAAGAAATTTTGATAAAAAGAGATATCAAAAGTAGCCAAGGCATAAAAGTTGCGAAGGAATCACTCAAGGATGACTTCAGACCTCGCTCGTCAGACTCATATTTTTCTCTCGCATTCGCTAATACAGATGAAATTTATACATATATAAAGTACGGATTAACTGTATACCATCTACTTAATGGATAAAAAGTCTACCTGCGGGATGTAATTCTTGTAAATAATTACGAGGACCATAAAAACCTGTGTATAATCCACACTTGTTTAATCATTGTAGTTTTTATTTTCTATGGAGTAGCCCCAACTCAATCCTTTGTTTTCCTTCAAGCAAAATGATCTAGTGAAAGAACAAAGGGAAGACTAGCCCATTGAACGATGAAAACGTTATCGCATCGCCGGGTGTTGCAAGGGGCATTCATCTTGTTATTTGGAGAATTTACTTCGAAAATTGGAATTTTTGGCATTTGAAAAAGGAAACTGGTTTCGCGGATCTAGAAAAAATCTGGAAAATATAACGTTCGGCTTATCGATAAATTAGAAACACTGGGCTTCTTTTCCGTTTATTTTGCCTACAAATCTTATTTTCTTGATTAATTACATACTTCTCCAAGGGTATTATCTAAAGCTGATACTAAATATACTCGGTGAAGGTTATAGGCAGGTTTTGAGATTTACATTAAAGATTGTAAAATACCCAACTTTAATGTTTTATAGAATTAAATCGGAAGTAAATAGCTAATAATAGTATATATAATTCTACGAGCTGTTGTCTTGCTCTGCATTGCTTTCCGAATAATTCAGTGCTATTTCGTATACCTTATCGTAGTTACTAACAAAATGCTTTTCCAAGTTTTGTTTTATGAAATTTTGCAAGTCGTCATAGTCTTTTCTGTTGCCTTCTGGTAAAATGACTGTTGATATATTTGCACGTTTTGCCTGAAAGGAAAAAAATTATCAAGGTTCATAATTAATGAGTCATTGTGTTTAAATGTTGTGTGATCAAAAAATTTGTTTGTCTATAAGGATATTAAGCATTAGAAAGGGCAGGCCTGTGAAATCCTATAGAAAAGAATAAGATGTTATTTGAAAATAATGAGAGAGTGCTCTCTTGTCTGTATGCATAGATCAACAGCGATACTATATTTTGCTAGCTATTTATGAGTGAAATATTTATCACCTGGGAAACAAATATGTTGATATATTAAATAACTTCGTGAAAAGAAAATGTCAAAAGAGAGTTTGTTATCTTTCTGGTAGAATAATTGACGAATAAAATGTCAAACAAGAAGGATATATCCAAATGTTCTTTTATCATTGTTTTATTTGATGTAGCACTACAGCCTTTCTGTGAAACAATCATTTCGCTATATTTATATATTTCATTTCCAAAATGGCTTTGAAAAAGACAAACTTTTGAAACATGTTTCTGAAGCTTTTCGTCTGACACTCTTCAGAGTATACAACGTCAGAACATAAATCGAAAACTATCTTATTTTATTTTCATTTTTAGTTTTTATGCCAATAACTTCCAGTGAAATGTAAGCTAGTACTCTAACTATTGAAGAAGTAAGTTTGTTAGTGGCTTATTGTACCCAACGAAAAGAGTGCGTTTGGAGCAGAATTTAAATGTGTTGTGCTCTTCTAACAAGATTGGGAATAAAAATAAGAAAGAACAATAATTTTCTCTAATCGTAGTGAATGCTTTTACAGTTTCGATGATCAGTTCATTAAACCTCTGGCTTCTCTAGAGCACGTGTGTCTCTAAAAACCAGACTGGAAAAACTACAATAGTTGAGATCCAACAAAACTCAAGTCAAACACCTCTTTATGGTTCTAAACCTCCCTTACTAGATCGATTAATGTTTACTTTAGGAGTGGGGTAAACGATCTGTCGAAATTGTGACAGAGTATAATGAACTTATAAGACGACATTTTGTTTGCACTTAATCGGCCATATATTCAACGATATATTTGCACTCACGCAGAACAGCTAATATTTCTATTGTGTTTACATTCGCTTTGTAGCCTGGCTTGTCTATTTGCTATGTTTTAGCTAATCCCCTTTATTGAGCTGTTGTATTAAAGTTGTGTACATAGTTTAAATGATAATTCGTGTTTTGGACAAGAAAAACAAGCTGTGCTAACTTTTTGCATCTTCAAACACTGAGGTGAGAAATTGTATATATATTTATAATATTTATAATCCAAAACAAATCATTCGTAAAAGAACCAACAACGCTCTTACTAAACCAGTATATCTTTCCAAGAGTTGAAATCATATGTTCTAAAGAGAAAGAAGCCCCCCTCCTTATCTAAGAGAAGATATAGTGAAGGGACTCTATAGCCTCGTCAAAACAAGAATTTTGTAAAGATGGGACTAGTCTTCCAAGATTAGGGTTTTAACATCTTCCTTAAAAACATTTAAAAATTGGTACCTTTCCGACAGTGACAAAACTTTCATTCATTATTTGGATAGCTGTGTAATTGGAATGTGAATTCAACAGCTACAATTTATCTAGACTCTTGTAACCACAGAAAAACTCAATTTTTGCAAAAATTTATCATTATCTTACATTTCTTTCACATAAATGGATTACTAGGTATTAATTTTATAGATTCTAGTATAAAGATAAGTAGATGTTAATTTTGGTACTCGTCAAATATTTTTCATTCCTGTTTAGTAGGTCAAAAAGTACCCTTTTCTTTGAATGGAAAACTTTTTGACCCACAAGCCTGAACTTAAATGATATTGTCTCATGCCATCGTCAAATGCAATCGATCGCTACAAATTAGGAAGATTTATAACGTATTTCTATTTTGACATATCTTTTGGTCCGTTTCAATTCTCAACCTCAAGGCAAGATATGCTCATGTCAGACATCTGCCGTTTGAAATTTCTTTCAATGTATGCAGTAGCTGGGTCTCTTTCAAATCTTTAAATTTTCTGACGTGTCAGTCTTCACAAAGACTGAAAATCTGATACTGATTTAAAATAGTTGGAGGAAGGAAATTATCCAGTAGAATTCAGTCTTCTCTTTGTATTTATTTCCTTCCGTGCTAATTTTTAAGGCTTTTCTAGAAACCTTCTCTATATTAATATCCTTAAGAATTAATTTTCATATATACTTAACTGATGATAGCTTTGCTTTAGATTTTCTCTAATCTTGAGTGATAAATAAAGCAAATACGTAAAGAAATAAAAAAAATGGTTTTCAGAGAATCCGTTAAGAAAAACACCCTACAGAAAGTTATAACTAAAAGATAGCATGTACAGAAAGAAAATTAAAAGTGGTTTATAGAGAAACTATATAGCAATGCTATCTATATTAGGTGTTATATGAAAATTAATACGCAACGAAAAAGAATTTAAATAAAGGAGAAAAGGGGCGTAACAACAAATGGAGCTTCAAGAAGTCGAAAAAGTATCAGTAAAAATAACAAAATTCAATGAAAGTAAACTGGCAGTGCCTCGAGAATAGATCGAAGATCAATTAAACAAAAAGAGAACGAGAATACAACAACAAAAAATGCTCTAAAGAATCAAAGAGAAAAGAGAAAAATGTGAAGGTGAAATGGATATGAAAAAAGGAGTTACAAGTGAAGACAACAAGCATTAATTTAGCGAAAAGATGACAGGGGCAGAACAACAAATAATGCTCTAAAGTAATAAAGAGAAAAAAAGAAAAATCAAAAGATTCAATGGATTGAAAGAAAGAGTTTCAAGTGAAGAAATCAAGGATTAATTTAACAAAAAGAGGACAGGGGCAGAACAACAAATAATGCTCTAAAGTATTAAAGAGAAAAAAAGAAAAATAAAAAGATTTAATGGATTTAAAGAAGGACTTTCAAAAGAAGATAATCAAGGATTAATTTGACGAAAAAGAGGACAGGGGCAGCACAACAAATAATGCTCTAAAGTATTAAAGAGAAAAAAAGAAAAATCAAAAGATTCAATGGATTGAAAGAAAGAGTTTCAAGTGAAGAAATCAAGGATTAATTTAACAAAAAGAGGACAGGGGCAGAACAACAAATAATGCTCTAAAGTATTATAGAGAAAAAAAAGAAAAATAAAAAGATTTAATGGATTTAAAGAAGGAGTTTCAAGTGAGGATTATCAATGATTAATTTAACGAAAAGAGGACAGGGGCAGCACAACAAATAATGCTCTAAAGTATTAAAGAGAAAAAAAGAAAAATAAAAAGATTTAATGGATTTAAAGAAGGACTTTCAAAAGAAGATAATCAAGGATTAATTTGACGAAAAGAGGACAGGGGCAGCACAACAAATAATGCTCTAAAGTATTAAAGAGAAAAAAAGAAAAATAAAAAGATTTAATGGATTTAAAGAAGGACTTTCAAAACAAGAAAATCAAGGATTGATTTAACGAAAAGAGGACAGGGACAGAACAACAAATAATGCTCTAAAGTATAAAAGAGAAAAAAAGAAAAAAAAGATTTAATGGATTGAAAGAAAGAGTTTAAAGAGAAGGTTATCAAGGATTAATTTAACGAAAAGAGGACAGGGGCAGAACAACAAATAATGCACTAAAGTATCAAAGAGAAACAAAAATAAAAAGATTTAATGGATTTAAAGAAAGAGTTTCAAGTGAAGAAAATCAAGCATTAATTTAACGAAAAGAGGACGGGGGCAGAACAAAAATTATGCTCTAAAGTATTAAAGAAAAAAAAGAAAAATAAAAAGATTTAATGGATTGAAAGAAGGAGTTTCAAGAGAAGATAATCAAGGATTAATTTAACGAAAAGAGGACGGGGGCAGCACAACAAATAATGCTCTAAAGTATCAAAGAGAAAAAAAGAAAATTAAGAAGATTTAATGGATTTAAAGAAAGAGTTTCAAGTGAGGATTATCAAGGATTAACTTAACGAAAAAAGGACAGGG